AAGATAACCGGGTTTTGAGAAACGCTTTAACCACTTGGTTAACTTTAACGGCCGGTTAAGAGTATTTAACCAGTGGTTAAAAGATAACCGAGTTTTGGACAACCAGGCCCAGCACTATAACAAAAGAAATCTGGGTCTGATTAGATGATTTCATCCAATATCATGTGACAAGAACAGTAACAGAACCCACCACTGTTAAAGAGTCACAGCTCCATGCAGTTCCTTACCATTCTGTTTTCTGTCTGTGTTCTTGAACAGCCAAATGTTGACATGCCCTGGGTGTTGGTATATGTATGAGGTAGTATTGTGCAGTTTCAGATTGCACTGCAAGTTCTAAATGCTTAATTCGAGCCCTGATAGATGTCATGAAGGTAAATACAATCTATTTACATTTTTCCGTATCCGTTGAAACCGTTATGATTTATCAGGGTGAAGAAGTAAGGACTGCCATAAAATCTATAACTGACATGCAACATATTTCATAGTAAATCTCTCTGTAGGCTGTTTAACTGTTTAACAAACATTACATTAAGTAAAGTAGACGCAGTTTATGGATAACAACTAGGGGTGAAACGGTATGCTCTTACCATGGTACGGTACGTATTGCGGTACAAGGCCTTCGGTTCAGTCCGTTTCCGTTCGGTATATGAGATATGATCATAATACAGAAAACTGACAAGAGACTAACCTTATATTGTTTAACAACATGGAAACAAAATAACCATGATCTGTGTTATTTTGAATGAACAAAACTGTCACTTAAAAAGGTTAATAAAATGACAGTATGAAAACTGAAAATAATAATAATAAAGTTCAGATTTGTAATGCGCCTGAATCCAATAATTGCTCAGAGGTGCAGGCCATAGGCTCGTTGGAATAAAAGGGTCTTAAACTCTCGCTTAAATGTCTCAAAGTCTGTGATTGTCTGAAAGTTCTGCGGAAGCTTATTCCACAGAGTGGGACCCGCCTTGATGAAACTTCTGTCACCAGATTGAACTGTCCGTGTCCTCGGAACTGTCAGTTGAAGTGTTGCTGAAGACCTCAACGATCTGTCTGGTTCATACTTGTGGATAAGGTCCACAAGATATGATGGAGCTTGATGATGTATGGCTTTGAACACAAACATGAGAAGCTTGTACTCAATGCGGTACTGAACTGGAATCCAGTGAAGTTGTTGCAAGATTGGTGTGATATGCTCATGCTTGTTTTTGGATTGCAGGACGTCTGGACAATATACCAAACCGAAGGCAAACTACTAATATTGGGGTATACCATTTCACCCCTAATAACAACTCCTGTAATAAACTAATATAGCCCTTGGACAAGTGACTATTGTTACAGGCTGCAATGCACTAGCAATGCAGACCACAATGGATACATGCTCTTTCTCACTGCTCTCGTCTCCTCGAGAGAAGAAAGAATAAATCAAAAACCAGAACCGTATATGAGGTGAAGTTTTACAACTAAAGAATACTGTAGGTTGTGTACCAAACTAACACTTAAACACTTCCAGAGAAGTGGAAGTTGAAACATTTTAAAATCGACCAAACTATCATGATGTTATTTTACACAACCTTTATTCAAAGTGTCATAACCTTTAATTTCTTGAGTTGGTTCAGGAACCTGTCTGTTCAGAATAAAAACAAACTTTCAAACATCGTAAACACTGCATCTAAAATAATTGGGCTTCCTATCGAAAGTATCGGCATTTGTTATGAGCAGCAAATTTAAGTATGCGACATTTAGAACAAACAGGGTTAAGCCACTCATTTGTTCCAGCCAGTATTAGATGTATCAACAACAAATTCTGTGAATGACTTGTGTTTTAATTGTCCAAATTCTATTCAATATCTATGTTTGTGTACTAAATTGATGTATTTATATCCTGATTATTTCATGATTACCAATTGCAATGTTATGTATGGCTGCTTTATGAATGAAAAACTGGAGAACGTATGATGCAAAACAAATTTCCCTTGGGACAATAAAGAATTATCTTATCTTATCTTATATTGTACATCAATGGTAGGTATAAACATGAACAATACACGTATAACATCTACTTCCTTATGATTAAAGGTTAGTACAGGACGGCCGAATATGACTATAAATATGACGTCATCAATGTCAGAATGATCAGAGTAACCGTCAGTTAATAAGGATTTGTGTGACCTTCTCAACCATACCCAATCATTTGGCATCAGATAGTGTTACAGACACTTTAGTTTTAAGCCAGAGATCTTCAAATCTCTGAAAAATTCTGTGACCAAAGGGTATATGCTGAATCATGTAGGGGGGAAATATGGCATTTTTGTGTATTTTTTTAGCTTTGCATACTTTCAGATGTCCACTATCTCTTATAAATAATCATGATAATAGAGAGGGTATATGTTCTTTTCTTACATTTGTGATATACCCTACAGCAATACAGTAATGTATCCCAACAGAAGCCCCATGATACAAACACACTGATTTAGAACCCCTGATTCACAATACAAATGTACGTACAACACATTACATTTCAAGTTATTTGGGTTTAAAAAGAAGAGAATACTGCAGATATGTTATTGACAACCAAATCAGGGACTTACAAAATATTTAAGAGTTTGGAAGTGTTTCTCATGTCGAAAGTCTTGATTCAGGCTCATGATTGAATTGCAAAACATTATCAACCCTATGACAGACAAGCGCTGGACTGGAATACCAATCACACCCATAGCATTAGGAAGGGTATAACATCACCACTCAATTTGGTTTTACTATTAACAAATATTGGTGAATATTTCAGTCATCATACCATTCACATACATCAAGACCGCCTCCGTGGTGTAGTGGTTAGTGTCCGCCCGGAGAGCGGAAGGTTGCGGTTCGATCCCCAACAAAATCAACAAAAAAAGGCGCGTTAAAATATGGTACTTGTTGGTACCTGCCTGGCTCTCAGCATTAATGGGTACATCAAGGACGGGTCAGCAAGGAGTCAGTATAATGTGTCTAAGTGGGGTATTCATGCTTCACTGCGGCATGGTATCTCAGTGGGCTAGCACTATTGAACCAGCTTCAGTCTGGGCTAGTACAAGCAGCCGCACCTACACACGCATGCATGTCGTCATATGAGCAAAATATTCTCAAGCACGACGTTAAACCCAATTTCACCTCACGTCACCTCACCTCACCTCACATACGTCAATAAAAACATCCCACTTATAAACAGATGTCAGGGTAGAGATTGCGATCTGGTAAAATTGGAGATTCTAAAAGTAGAGATGGCGATTGTATAGGTTATTCTATATAATCAGTGTCTCTACCAGTAGGGACTCTGATCGCAATCTCTACTAGTAGAATCTCTGATTGTACCAGCTCGCAGTCTTTACCCTGACATAGATCGGTCTACATAACAAGTAAAATTCATACCGACAGTTTTACCTCCACAACAAAACAGTTTGATCTATGAACACCTCCATCCTACCATACCCCCGACATATAACCGACATATAATTTCAAGGGTCCTTACAGTAAATATGAGATACTCCTGTGAAGTAATGAAATAGTTAAGTGTGCTGTATGAATTTCTAATTGTTTTAATTACAGGTCCTTTATATTTTTGTTAAGAATCTTGTACAATGTATATTGTTGTGAACAAATTGGGATCCAGTATTTAACGGTGTCCATTCTATTACTTTGTGTGTATTGGACATACATTTCTGTGTCATGTACAATCTTGGATATCTGTAAAAGTTTATGTTTTGGAAAGTTTTGTCACCCATAGCAGTGTAATATTTTTTATTACACAGCTAAACTGAAAAACTTGCCAAAAAACCCAAAGTGTTGCCATTGTTACGAGTATTTTGTAATCCTAGTTACCATGGTAACACCTGTGTTTTTGTCTGTTTTCATAGCTTAGAAGTACATAATCATCATGGGTATCATGGAAAACATGCATTAATTATATCACTGCATTTTCAGCTTAAAACACACTGGATAAGATCACAAAATCACAATCACAGCCTAGTAGAAAATGTAAATGTTGGTAAGTAAATGTAAACATGACTCGGTGCCTAAAAAAATTACAATTTCTTATTGTTTCCTTCAAAACATATTTTACATGTTGGTAACGTAAAATGTTAAAATTGTACAAAATATATTGATGTCAAGAAAATTTCATATCCACAGGAGAGTGCACTCACTGCCAGGAGGTTATCTAGATGGGTTCATTTTATCGGACATAAAAATGCCAACAGGTTTTTAAAAGTCAGGTATTGATGCAGATAAATGTCTGGCAAAACTTGAAAAATTCAAGGAAAGTTTTAAGATATTTGATTCCAGCTAAATCCCTGTAGGATGGTAACACAAGCCTAATGCCATCAGTTCATTGTGATCTCTGCAATGTGACATAGTATCTATGTGGGTTCATCCAACAATTGCAATCAGTCTAGTACAATACAGGTCACCCAGTGTTGTATATTCCCCAGGGATCTGATAATGAATATTGAGTGCCCACCTAACTACTGACTGGGGTGTATCTCATGCTTGGTAACGGTGTTAGCATATACACCGAAACGTCGCATCCATTACAATAAAGACGTCCATTAAGATTTGTTCCTGTTGTGGGGTGATGATGTCAGCACTTTGAGCATGCTGATAGAAGGATGCGATGCTCTACATCATTATCATTATTAGTTACAGGGGTTCAAAAATCCCATCGCCCGACGCCCGGGACAAGCCAGTTTTCATTTCGGGCAACCAAATAATGGTATCTTACTTGTCCGTGGGCTACTAGATAATTTCCACTTATGGTTTCAAACTGCAAATAAACTTTGATTTAATTTCATATCTGCTCAAAATGTAGCTATTACATTTCGCAATGATAATAAAGTAGAGTTATCTTTCTTTGCTATTTATCACTTTTCAATAAATAGTCCAATAAACATTAACATCAAATACCATGTTGATTTCTTCTTTCATAATTACATCATCATAATTATGTCATAAAATCAGGGCAAGTGGAAAATTAGTCAGGACAAGTTACTTTCTTAAAGTCACTTGCCCTGTGGCAAGTGTCTTTTTAAAAAAAAATTGAACCCTGACTTATCAAGGTGTTTGGTTTGTTGTATTGCAATATTCCAGCTATATGATGTCAACATGTATACTCCAGGTACAATGACAATGACAACTATGACACCATCGTGAGCCTCCTGCAACCAAAACAAGTGGCTGGGACCTGAATACAGGACACTTTTATGGATAACAGCTTCTTTTTATTCTTTACACGACGTTTCAGAGCTAATTCTTGCTCCTTCATCAGGCAATAAGTGACATGAACCAGTACAACAGCATCGTCCACAAGAACATCAGGACCAACAACCACCTCACCTTTCTACTACGCTGCAGAGATAACAAGATAATTCCTAAAGGCCTACGTTTGAAGTCACCTGTCCAACCACCGTGTAAAGAATAAAAAGAAGTTGTTATCCATAAAAGTGTCATGTATTCATGTTCGTCCAACTTCTAAATGCCTTTCAAAACCTTCATTTGGCTGGGACCTATTCCAACAACAACAGAAATTAGTGCCAATGGGAGAGATAGATAGGAGCAACTGTGACTTCAGTACATCCAGGAATGTGCTGACATTGGATGTGGAAGGGACGGGTTGTGTCCCATATTGGGAGGAAGGCGTTGATCGGGATGCGTCGCCACCATCCCCTGGTGACTGGGATGAGGTAGGGCAGTCGGCTGCAAGGGGGTTAGAGGCTGCAGGCATCCTTGTCCTACAACCAAGCCATTCTGACCTTGAACCTGTGACAGAGCATGCTGGCCGGACACCACCTGTAACCCTGCTTGGTTACCTGTGGCGAACATTGGGCTTGGGTCAGAGGCCAGGGCGTGGATGGGAATTCCTCCTGAAGTTGACAGGACATGATCAGAGACCATCGGAACATTATTGTCTGAATAATAGGAGTGATCAACAGCCACCATCATCCTATGTGTGGGTCTCTCTTTGTCCTCAGCCAGATCCTGCTGCTCCGAGATCTGGCTGGAGTCTATTGTTGTGAGCACAACATGCTCTGTCAAAACACGAGGTTCTTCAACATCTCCCATTTCAACGTCCATCACGGATGTGCTTTCAGCGTCTCGGATGCTCTCTGTTGCTTCTTGCAGGATATCCCTTTCTTGCTGGGCAGCAACGTTGTCCTTGTGGCCAGGTTTCAGTCGGTCAGGAAGATGGAGTTTTCGCATCTTTCTTTCATGACGAAGTTCATGCTTCTTCCGATCATTGGTTCTCTTGAACCCCTTGCCACAAAAGCTGCACTTATGAACCATCTGCTCTGAATGGCGTCGCATATGATCCTGACGCAAGGTTGCTTTTGCAAAAGCTTTTCCACAAATATCACATCCAAAAGGACGTTCACCTGTGTGGATGCCCATATGACTCTGAAGGGCATGGTTGTTAGAGAAGCCATGTTTGCAGACACTGCAGTAGAGTAGTCTCCCCTTGCAATGCTTCTGCTGGTGGAGTTTGAAGTAGGACGGATTGACGAACCAGTCGCCACATGTGTGACACTGGATCAGGTTCTCCCCTGTGTGAGTCTTACGATGAACCTGAAGCAGACAAACGTCAATAGTACAAAATTATGATTATGTCCAACTCCAAAGATAATAATTCAAACTATTCATCAGAACAGATTGATCAGTGTGAAGTTTTCAAATCTGTTCCATTTAACCTAGTAATCATGACCACGAAGGATTTCGACAGTCAATGACCAGTATCTGTATGACAAAGGTTAAAACAGGCATGACACTAAAATACCCTAAAACACTGCATTAAATATTTAAATGGATATCACAAATGACGAAACTAAATCTGAACTTACAAGTCCTACACAAAGGTTCCCAGTACTTTTTTAAACAATGAATTACAAGCAACCATGGCAAAAAACAATGAGTGTGTGACTTGTGAGTGGGTTCGACACTGCTTTAAGCAATATTTCATATATAATATGGCATGTCAGCCTTGGGGAAAAGTCTGCCAATGCCAGTTTGGTGAAACCCACAATCACCTGTATGGTGCTCACAGACCTAATATATAATCAGGTTGAAACCACCAATCATAAGTTTATGGCAAGAAGAAGAAATGTAACTCTTCACCATGAACTGTAGTGCCTCAGATGACTTGGCCACCCGTGCATATTAAAGAGTGAGTGAGTGAGTGTAGTTTTACGCCGTACTCAGCAATATTCCAGCTATATGGCGGCAGTCTGTAAATAATTGAGTCAGGACCAGACAATCGAGTGATCAACAGCATCGATCTGCACAATTGGGATACAATGACATGTGTCAACCAAGTCTGCGAGCCTGGCCACCCGATCCCGTTAGTCGCCTCTTAAGACAAGCATGGGTTACTGAAGATCAATATTCTAACCCGGACCTTCACAGGTCGCATATTAAAGAGGCCCTGGATGAAGAAAATGTTGGAACTTACCTGAAGGTACCAGGAACTGCGATACATGCGCCCACAGATGTCACACTTGTGTGGCCGGTACCCGGCATGGGTCTGGTTGTGAGACTTCAGGGCATTGGATGTCAAAAACGACTTCCCACACAGCTCACAGATGAACTTCTTTGCCCCAAAATGAATGTTGGTGTGCTTAGTTAGCTGCCTCGGAGTTGCAAAACCTTTCCCACATTCATTACATTTGTGTGGCCGATCATCTATGTGCACGACCACATGACGATTCAAGGATTCCTTCAGAGTAAACTTTTTGTTGCATACATCGCACTTAAATGGTTTCTCGCCAGTGTGAATTCTAAGATGGAGTTTGAGGTCACTTGCATCAAAGAACCTTTTGTCGCACATCGTACACTTGTGAGGCTTGTCGCCAGAGTGAGTCCGTTTATGACGATTCAATCGGGACAATGTAAGACAACCTTTACCACAAAAGTCACAAACGTATGGTCGGACACCAGAATGGATTCCTTGGTGCTGCGTCAGAGTTTTTCCGGAGTGGAATTCCTTACCGCACGTATCACATTTGACAGCTTTGCTGCTATGTACACGCTGATGGATGTGGAATGATGAAGAGTTGGTGAAACATTTACCGCACTTATCACACTGGTACGGCTTCTCGCCAGTGTGGTTGCGCTCATGTACCTTCAGGTAACACACTTCAGTGAAGCCTTTACCACAAACAGGACACTTGTACGGCCGGTCAGCTTCATGTGTCTTCATGTGATGGGTCAGGTGGCCATTCCTCACAAACGCGTTCCCACATATCGTGCACTGGAAAGGTCGTTCACCTGTGTGTATTCTCATGTGGTACTTGAGCCGACTTGGGATGTGAAAACCTTTGCCACAAACATTGCATTCATATTCCGTACTGTCGCTGTGAACACGTTCATGACTCTTCAGAGTCTTCAGCATTTGGTAAGTTCTTCCACACACAGCACACTTGTAAGGGCGGAGATCACTCACACTTCTTTTTCTTTTCGTTTCTCTTCGGTTTCAGTATTTTTACCCTTTGAACTTTCCTTTTCATTCACAACTACATTTTCACTTATGACTTTACTTTCACTTGTCACATCTGTCTCCTTCTTTGCACTTTTCCCGGTACTATCGGCTTCAACCAAATTATCAGTCATCTGATCACTACTGGGTACTTCATGAGAATTTACATGTTGAAGAATTTCGTTCTTTGATACAAAACTCTTACCACAAACATTACATTCAAACTTTTTGATTTTGGATCTTCTAGTTGTCTTCACAACTTCCTTGAACATGGAAGTCTTATTGCAAGACTGGTCAGGAGAAAGCTCCACATCTTTAGCTGACTCCAGTTTCAAAACCTTCTTCATTTTCTGCGGCCTTGTTGCAGGCTTAGCCCTTGCTGTGGGAGTCTGGGATGGCCCGGAGGCTTTTCTTCTAGTCAAGGGTTTCATGTCTTCCTTTCTCTGCCGATCATCTTCATCTTTATCATCCTCAACATCATCATCCCCATCCTCTCGGACATCTGAATCTACATCTAACATCTCCATCATTTTGATTGTTGTTTTCCTCCTCCTTGGGTTCCCCCTTCTTTGTCCTCCTGCTTCGTCTTCCTTTGGTGCTGCATCTGTAACAGCACTGACAGCATCACACTGCAGCTTCTCATCAGCAGCCTTCCCTGCTACACAATGCTCACATCGACTTTTATCACTCAATTCAAAGATCATATTTATTTCCCCAGCATTTTGAGGAACATGATTTCGGCATGTTGTACAGTTCCCAGCTATTTGGTGAACCTTGCAATATGAGCTCTTACACTGGATCACACCCCGCTCGAGCATATCCATGAAATGAGGCATCATCTCATTGTTTTCAATATGGACTCGGATCTGCAGATCAACGTCTTGTTCATTGATTACCTTTGTCTGGACGACATGACACATGAACGCTGCCTCCATCACCTGTAGACTTTCAGACAGCTGGTCTACTAGGCGACTGTCTTTTTCAGACTGGTTCTCTCTTCGGCCATCTTCTACCTGGTAAATGGGTAAATTGGGCTCTTCATCTCCACTGTCGCTGTCAGTAAAGGACACCTCCATATTTAGAGCAAGTCTCAGTTCTCTTTGTATGTTTTACATACAGCCATCATGTTCGGATCATGGTATCCTGAAATCTGAATGCTTTTTCATAAATATGTGAAATTAAAAAACATATTAGAAGTAAGAGTCAGTTTAACAATCTAACTAAAATCCAATCTTTTACTCCCATACAATACCTCACTGAGTGAATATTTCACCACAACTCATTAGGAGTCAATCAGATAATCGATGATCTGCTTCTAAATCCTTATACCAGTGATTATTGATGAAACATGCATTCAGATCTAAGAAAACTGGATTTCTGTAAATCTCTTCAAAGCTATTTTCATATACAAAGGAGGTACCTTGTGAAGTAGACCATCATGTTCTGTCCAACATTAAATTATACAAATTGGAAACACCAAGACAACCAAGTACATAATTACTAAGGCTGTACAATACAACCGGTTTACCGGTATTTACCGGTTCAGACATGAAAACGATACGTATTGCGATACGCTGATCAAAAAACGGTATTTTGGACAACTTAGTAACACTCGGAAATCTTCGGATATTTCCTTGTTTCATTTTCGCCAAATATTATTTACATTTTTATTTTGTCATGATTAAAGGTTGTTGTTGAAGCTTAATCAAGCATAGTTATTTGGTTGTGTTTTTGCTTTATAAATCAAGCTTTAACTCGATTACAAGTAGTTTTATGTTTAAAAATACTTCTTGCAATATATATCCCAATATGTGCTTTCGCATCGCAATATATCGAAATATGAAAATTCTCTGCAATACCCACCCCTAATAATTACCTAATAATCTACGAAAAAATAGGATTAAATTCAATGTAGTCTGTTGTTTTCACTATAAACTTATCTTTTATAATTTACTATAGATGTGTTATAGTCATGAATGCGATTAGAAAGATAACAGAATGTTTCTTATCTATCAGTATGCAATCATCTATTCTAAGTCGAACTGACAGCTGTTGATTTTTGACAGGTGGGAACATCCTACATTCGCTGTTTGGATACACCATCACAGATATAAACTAAGGCACATGTAACAAATCATACACATTTCAACACTAAGCCTGATTTTGTGTAATCTTAGATTGAAATAATAACTTTCATCGTAACGTACTAAAGATTTTGATCAGCTGTTGAAATAGAACAACATTGAAAGAACACTTATTAGAGACGGCCAAATACTTATTTATAGCAACTACTTACTCCTCAAACATTACTTCAAGAATAAGATGGTTACTCAGTCGTGCATTCGCTGTGTATTCTTGATACTGTGTGTTTCGTGAAATGCTTGACATGATTCGCCATGATTTATACAGGGGAGACAACTCTTTGGCCTAAGAAGAACGTGTACCGTTACAAACTGGGACAGGGCAGCTGACTTTTTTGACGGCACAACTTGATTCGACCGACGTTTATATATGATACATCTGGGTTAAAACCAGAATTGGACACAAGTACTACCTGTCATCGTGTTGCATGCAGATAATCAGAGTAATTATTCACTTGAAGTGGCTGCATACAACATTACATATGTAAATATTTATCTGTGCGGAAGCGCAATTGTAAATGACAGCTGGTATGGTCCAGGGATACTCTACATCCCTGTATGGTCGAAGGGCTTCACATTAATGCATTCTTTCTCTTGCCTGGACTTTATGTATACATTTTGTCAGAGACCATATACAGACGGTATATGGTCTCTGATTTTTGTATATAAATTATTTGACAAACACCTTCATCATTTTCAGGCAAAAGCACCGAAATATTTCTGGTTGGAAACAACAAATTGAAAATCTAAGCGTATAATAATCTTTCATGAAGTTTTCCCAATTTCTTGTGGATGTGTCACCTCTGCCCTATGGGTATTTTGAGAGAACACTTTGCAGAAAAGAAGATTTGAAGAATGTTTTCACTGAGCAAAACAGTTTCCATCTACCACATACTACACCTTGTAGTTAACTGTCGTATACAATGAGGAAATCACGACGAGGGACGTGCGCCTTCATGTTGTTCGGTGTGGTTTACGATATGCACAAATTCGATTCAAATTATAAAGAGAAGATGTTCACCGTGGATTAGACGTAAACCGTCCTGAAACTTAGCGTTTGCTGCATTGGTAAATCGTGCGCCTTAACGAAGGGGACAGACACAGTAATAGAACAGCACGCCATTTAGCCCCGAACGAGGATTGTTCATTTAGGTCACAGACAACATCTTTTTTCTGTTAGTACTCTGGCTTAGATTAATCGTTGCTACGTATTAAATTTGGCGTCTTAGAAAGGAAACAGAGTTCGCTCTAACCCCATGTATAGTGTAATAATGTACAGTTTTGCCCTGAACTATTTAAGGCACGAATACGCTTGTATTACACTATATGCACGTGGGCCTCGTGCTTGCGCCTGAGTGCTTTAACGTTATAATGGTTCAGGGCAAAACTGTACATTATTACACCATACATGAAGTTAGAACAAACTGTATCTATTGATTATTAAATAGACGTGCGCAGTTTGTTGATTTCGGAAGGCCATAAAACCCGGCGTTTGTTCAAGGTAGGCGTTCATTTTTCCAGAAGGCAATTTTTACATCAAACCCTTGTGTTTTCCCTCACGTTCTGCACCTGAAACTGATACTGATACGGTACACATGCAGCGTGACTTCTGAGAGACCTAAATTGGCAAAAGAGATATTGACATAACTAAATATCGTTGACTTATAGGCATCAAGGCTTTTATTCAAAGCAGGTATGTATTGAGGTGAGGTGAAATTGGGTTTAACGTCGTGCTTGAGAATATTTCGCTCATATGACGACGTGCATGCGTGTGTACGTGTATGTGCGGCTGCTTGTACTAGCCCAGACTTAAGCTGGTTTTATAGTGCTAGAGATACCAAGCCGCAGTGAAGCATGAATACCCCTCTCAGACACATTATACTGACTCTGAGCCGACCAGTCCTTGTTGTACCCATTAATGCCGAGCGCCAGGCAGGGACCAACAAGTACCATATTTTAACGTCTTTTGGTATGACGCGGTCGGGGATCGAACACGCGACCTTCCGCTCTCCAGGCGGACGCTCTAACCACTACACCACGGAGGCGGTAGGTATGTATTGAAGAATTTATGAGTGAAGATGAGTGGTTATCATGGTTACAGTTGCCTTCGATTTGTTTCTGTCTTCCCCAGTTAAACTGGGATCCATATGGCATGTCTAAAATAGAACCAAATTAGCAAAAATGGCAAATAATTTAGTTGATGGAAACAATCAAATATAACATTGGTTTACCTCTAGGATAAACAGACACAACCTGTCTATTATGTGTATTCACTATACATGTATTTAACATACAGTGTTTTGCAATTTTACAACATTCAACTGCACCATACAAATTAGGATACATTCAACATAGACAGCATTCTTGGTTCAAATATAATGTGTAATACAATATATTGTGTGACCGCCTCCGTGGTGTAGTGGTTAGAAGCTGTCCCCCGAGAGCGGAAGGTCGCAGGTTCGATCCCTGACTGTGTCATACCAAAAGCGTTAAAACATGGTACTTGTTGGTCCTTGCCTCGCTCTCGGCATTAATGGGTACAACAAGGAATGGTCGGCTCGGAGTCAGTATAATGTGTCTGAGTGGGGTATTCATGCTTCACTGCGGTATGGTATCTCAGTGGGCTAGCGCTATAAAACCAGCTTCAGTCTGGGCTAGTACAAGCAGCCGCACATACACATACACAGGCATGCACGTTGTCATATGAGCAAAATATTCTCAAGCACGACTTTAAACCCAATTTCTCCTCACCATATACTGTGTGTCTTCTCACTAGTTTCTTCTGTGTTGTTTGGGGTTACAATGTGTAAAATAATATTTCCAACATGGGATTATATGCAATATTGGTGTGTTTATCATAAATAGAAATTCACAAACTGGATAGAGATGTTTGGTGTGGTGTGAGAATAGGTCCCCATATTTGTCAGAATAGGCGGTTGTGGATCAGTTGGTCAGTGATTTGGTTAATCGTGTGACCTGGTTTGTCAGATCAGATGCAGTATAACTATACAGGTCCCTCTTCCTAGAGATGGAATATTGCTGGGCGATGCATTTAATAATGTACAAACAAAACCGACATTCCATTAGCTGTTATCAACACATCTATCAACCAGATAGCCGCTCGGAGAGCGGAAGGTCGCGGGTTCGATCCCCGACCGCGTCATACCAAAAGACGTTAAAATATGGTACTTGTTGGTCCCTGCCTGGCGCTCGGCATTAATGGGTACAACAAGGACTGGTCGGCTCAGAGTCAGTATAATGTGTCTGAGTGGGGTATTCATGCTTCACTGCGGCATGGTATCTCAGTGGGCTAGCACTATAAAACCAGCTTCAGTCTGGGCTAGTACAAGCAGCCGCACATACACATACACACGCATGCACGCCGCCATATGAGCTTAAATATTCTCGCTAACGACGTTAAACCCAATTTCACCTCACCTCACCAGCAATGATTTGGTGTAGCCACATATTTGATTACAAATTGTATGATGACTATCATGGCCCTCAATAAATCTATTGCACTTTTTCACAGTCAAAATATGTAAAACCTGTTTTTCAAAAATATAATATATAATTGTTTAAACTTTGGTGAACACATGATCAGGCCAAGGATCATAATCTACAGCTGTAAGTTGTGATCCCACAGCTATGTGAGTGAGTGAGTGAGTATGATTTTATGCCGCCTTTATCATTATTCCATAAGTATGGTGGGAGGCACCAGACATGGGATCCACACATTGTACATATGTGGGAAATTGAATCCATGTTCCCCTTCTTCAGCATGACAAGTGAATACTTCAATCAAGGCTACTCCTCTGGCACAGCTGTGAATGACATGATGAAAGGTAAAACAAAACGAGAGTATCATATAAACCCTGTTTGCTATAGACTTTATTATGAACAGCAGTAGTCTGCAAGTGGTATTACCTGATTACTGTACAGCTCCAGGGGTGGAAAGAACTTTAAAATTGCTAGTGTACTCGGGTACGGTGGCACATGTAATGTAAAATCACTTGCCCTGGTAATTTTTCCACAATACCGGCCGATTTTCTTGTTGATTTTTTTGAAAAAGCAACATAATTAACATTGGGAAGTCAACTGGACATCGGTACAGCGTGATATACAAATTTGCTTGCCCAACAGAATAAAACACTGGACTCGGACGTCGGGCAATGGGTTATGTCCACCCCTGAGCTCCCATTATCCCACATAGCATGTACCAAATACAGTCAAACAATAAACTGTAAAAAATAATACGGAAGAATAAATGCTTAATAACAACATCTACCAATGATATGCATTGTGCAACATCATGGAATAAACAAGTGAAACAAACATATTACTGCTTGGCTTCATCCAAGCTGGGATGAGTATTGTTGGTAACAAATGCTTTGGGAAAAAATCATAATCTGTGAATTCAGTTTGTACTGTAATAATAGAGAATAGACATGATGAGGGCTGTTGTACAAAAGAACCTTAGGGCTACAGCAGTCGTAAGTCTATGTTAAGGTGTGGGAGTTATGATCACCTCAGCCCTAAGATCGCTTTGTACAACCGCCCTGGCCAGCCAGGATTCCAAACCACATTCATAAGAATCTGTCATTCCAAGGAACACAACCATGTCCCCTACGTATTTGTAAACGCATGGTTAGTTTTACCTCATTCAGTACGTCATACAGAAGACTGCTGCCATGTTTAAAGTTGAACATGAAAAAAGCTTGTGGTCCTTGTTATGATCCCAAAAATTTTGAGGTCAAAATTGAAGGTCCCTCTTAATTTTGGACACTGTACTAAGATGCAACTTGAAACTAATTTCCTGTTATGGAATAACGGCGGTTGTCTGGAAACAACTAGTAGCCATTGATAGCTGACGAGTTCTGCTATGGCACAAAATAATTACATTACATCAAGTAAACAAACCCACAATGAAGTAGGTAAGTGAGTGATTTTAGGTATAAGGTTGGTATTAAGAGGATTCCAGTCTTATGACAGCATGTCAACTTGATGTGGTAGGAAAACCTAAATAAATGCAGGTCTCAGACTCTTACCATTTGGGTAGAACCAAAGGATTGAGTGTATGGTGCTGAGAAACCTTGAAACATAATCTGGGGTTATCAGGATTGGAACACACATGTATGGGTTGTCTGGATGGAACATTGCTGTAGATACCTTAGGCATGATGATGAGTAAACATATAAACCATTAGTTTACATCGTGGACTGACTGACTGACCGACTGAGTTTTGGTTGTACGCCGCTTTTAGCAATATTCCAGGAACATCACGGCGGGGGACACCAGAAATGGGCTTCACACATTGTACCCATGTGGGGATTCGAACCCAGGTCTTCGGCGTGACGAGCCAACGCTTTAACCACTAGGCTGCCCCACCGCCCCTACATCATGGACCCCAAATGCCAAGGAAGATGGATCCAATGGCAAATCATTGTATGTAATTCCCATCACAGTCAATTTGATTAACAGGATACTTGAGCACTAAATATTCAACAGTCCAGAGCTCTGGGCCCTACCCCACAGATTGATATTAACGACATAACTGCTGTGGATCAATACTAAAGTATGGGAGTTATATTCGTCTTTGTGCTAAGGCCACTTTGTGGAAAGGGTCCTCATCTCAACATCACCACTATCAGGAACTTACTGCTTTAATGAGACATTATTGCTTGAGGTTAACACAAGACTAATTAAAATAATAAGTTCATCTGCTACAGGTTCGGAACAACGGCAAGCATAATGACATTCTGAATCAGCAACCAACTGTCCAGGGTCCTGCTGCTGTTGGTGCTGCTGGATGTTCTGCTGACTGTCCTGATAATGAACCACAGCAGCTTCTGGCTCCCCACTATACTGCACCTCGGTAGAGTTAAACTGGGCATGATGCGATGGTCCGATCTGACTAGGATCTATAGTTGCCAGGACAATAGTATCAGATTCTGCAGGAAAATGTCCAACTTCAGTGATGTCCTGAACCTCTTCAATGACTGTATCAGGCCCAGACAGAGTTAGAAACTCACTAGATGCTCCTGCTTCCATCAGTTTCTGCTCTGGATAACCAGGCTTCATGTTGTTGGGAAGCGCAGCTTTCATCTGCCCCTTGTGTCTGATTTCATGCCTCCTTAGATCAGCAGGACAATTGAAACCCTTACCACAAGTTTTACATAAGTGTGACTTGGCTTCAAGATGACGCTTCTTGTGCTCATTAAGTGAGGATTCCTTTGCAAAGGCACGTCCGCATGTGTCACAACCATAAGGTCTTTCTCCAGTATGTAGTCCCATATGACTCTGGAGTGCATGGTTGTGGGGAAAACCTAGCCCACACACAGCGCAATATACTTTTCTACTCTTGCAAAATTTTGGATGCACCTTCTGAAGATATTTGACATCTGTGAACCAGTCACTACACAAATTACACTGAACGAGATCTTTTCCAGTATGTATCTTCATGTGGTTTCTGCAGTGGGTGCTACTACGGAAGTTTTTACCACAGTATTTACAAGAATGAGGCTTGTAACCTTTATGAGTTTGATTATGAGACCACAATGACTTGGAAGTAGGAAACCTCTTACCACACTGTTCACAGACAAACTTTTTCTCTGACTTGTGAGTCTGGACATGCCGTATCAGGGCCCGATCACCTCTGAATTCTTTCCCACAAACTTTACAAGGTTTCATGACGTTGTATTCCTCTGTATGGGTTACTGCATGATGCTGAAGAGTGTTTTTCGTTATGTATGTCCTGCCACAAACATCACATTGGAAAGGACGTTCACCTGAATGAACCCTCATATGGACATCAAGATCATTTCTTGTATAGAACCTTTTTGAACAATTCTCACAACCAAATGGTTTAACTGTCACATGAATTCTTGAATGTTTCTTGAAAACTTGGTAAGACTTGAATCCTTTGCCACAAATGTCACAGCTGAAAGGCATGATGCCATTATGAGTGTAAATGTGTTCTTTGAGTCTGTGAGCAGAGACAAAGCGTTGGTTACATTCACTGCACTTATGAACCCCAGTGCTGTGAGATATGATGTGGCGGCGCAAGGACTGGCTGTTTGCATATCTCTTGCCACACTTCTCACACTTGTGGGGCTTCTCAGTCTCATGGGTCCACTTGTGATCACGGAAGTAGGAAATGTGGGAAAATTTCTTCTTACAAACTTCACATTCATATTCCCACCTATCACGTGGGATATGTTGGCTGGAATGCTTTTCCATGACTTGTCTGCTGAAGAAAGATTTGTCACAAACACCACAAGGAAATGGACGGTCATCAGAGTGGCGCTTCTGGTGTTTCTCCAGGAGCACCTCAGACTCAAAAGCTTTGGAACAGATTCTACACTTGAAGTTTGTCTCTTGGTCAGCATTATGGAATTTCTTATGTCTCATGAACACTGAATGGACTTGAAATGATTTTCCACATTTGTCACATTTAAATGGCTTTTTCTTTGGCCTTGACATGTTTTCCTCATTTTCTTCATCACGGGCACTACTATTTGAAATTGTGGATTCACTTCTGTACCTGTCCTGTTGATTGAGAGAGTCATCTTCTCCTTCACAGTCAATGTTCATACCATCAACACAATCATCCTCACAATCTTCACTCAAACTGTGTGTTTCTGATTGTTTTTCTGACCTTTCACAAGCTGTTGAAAGTGCTGAGGACACCCCTTCCTTATTCACTATGTCAGTAAAATTTTCTTCTTGCTTTATCTGTTCGCCCAATATGTCCATCTCTGTTTTCTTGCTACCCTTTACCATCGCATGCTCACGAATATGTCGCCGCCACAGTGCTGTTGAACTGGAGTAGCTCTTTTGGCATTCCTTGCACTTGAAAGGCTTAACCCGAGAATGATTCTTGACATGTTCTCTGTAGCAAAAAGCTTCTGTGAAGGCTTTTCCACAGATATCACACTTATATGCCCTGTGTTCTTCAGGAATATGTCTCTTCATGTGTTTTTTGAGGACATACTTGCTTGAAAACTTGCCACCACATACTGCACACTTGCAGGAGTTGGTACCAGAGTGTTTCATGAGATGAGTGATAAAAACCCCTTCACTGACAAATGACTCGTCACAAATTTCACACACAATGTTTTTGAAAGTATCAGAGGCAGCTGTATCTTCAGGTAAACAGTTTTCATTGATGTTGTCAGTACATAATTCCCCATCAGAGTCTTCAGGAAGGTTCTTTATCCGTCTACTATCATTTTGAATCAAAGACGTTTCTTGATCCCTTTGAACAGTGCTTTCAATGCTATTCCTTTCACCATATACCTTTTTGGCTCTTCTCCTTGTACTGCGCCTCACAGGTCCACAGTCTTTGCAGGTATTTTCATTGCTGTCCATAAAAGCAAACTTTAAAGTTACAACCTTCTTAAAGAATTTACGACAACAGTCACATTTGACTGAATCCATCATTATTTCACCACTGGTGTTAAGGGTTGGTAGGCCAGTTTCCCCAAACATATCCATAAAACTGTCTGCATCTGCACCACCAACCTTCACCTTGAAGTTAATGTCCAGATCTTCTGGACCAACTATGTGTGCTTTCACAAGAGTACATTGTAAAGCAGATGCTAATGTCTTCATACAGTCATCATTTTCTTTAATGACACTCATTGTAAGAAATGTTCTTGTCCTGTCCCAAAAGAATACTGTTCTTTTAGTTATTTGGAAAACCTGCAAACAAAAATATGTGGAAAACTTAATAATGGAAAATATTGTCATATGATGTTTTTGACAACCCTTTTGTTTCAGCTACTTTTATTTCAAAAATAAATGACCTACACTTTCCAGATAATAAATGTGACACCAGCATGGGAATGCTGATGCAGAATCATCATGAAACTGTATTACTATTAGAACACTACTGTAGTGGGATTTGTAGCTGTGTAATAGTGATGAGGATGTCAGATAGCATAGGTGAGTGAGTGAGTGAGGTTTAAGCCGTCTTTAGCAATATTCCAGCAACATCACGACAGGGGCCATCAGGAATGGGCTTCACACATTGTACCCATATGGGGAATTGACCCTGGGTCATCGGCGTGACGAGCGAACGCTTTAACCACTAGGCTACCCCACTGTCCCAATAGCATAGGTGAAGCAGAACACTGAACTTTGATACTGCAGCTTGTTCTAAAATACATTGATTATATCAACTGTACTACACAATGTATTATGCAACCAATGTCAAATATTGTGATTGTCTGTGGAGTTGCCATGGTCATAATGGAAGATAAATATACGACAGATATATGTTTGCCATTTGAAAAACATAACACACTTCCAGAAAGTGGAAAATTTGTTGTCAATATTTGGGCGAGGATTAGTTCTACTTGTGTGGAGCACTCGTTAGCATCTGTAAAAATCTAAAAATCTAAAAACCGAAAACAAACGTCCATTATTCTTATAGCATGACTGTGAAGACAGGTGATATCGTCCAAGGAAAGAGTTCCTTCCGTTCCCCCAACTCTAAACCAAACTCTAAACCTAACCCTAAACCTAGCCCTAACTTTTGGACTTTTAATCATTTTTGTGGGTTCTCTAGTAATTGTTGTGTTAAGTTTTGTTTATAATTCTAGAATATTTATACATATTATTTGGGATGGGGGAACGGGAGGAACTCTTACCTCGTCCAAATACATGCATTAGAAAAAATACGGTCTATGAACCCAGACATAAGAAGGGAAATCTGCAACTACAAGACGGACACTTTCACGAAATCAACACGGAACAGGCCGGATTACAGTTCGAGGTCATAAAGACATTAGATGCGTAAATATACAAACATAATTACCGGTACCTTCCTTTCTAATGCCCTCAACAAACTAAACAAGTAAACATGCTATAGCATTTTGTACCCATATTCCTCAGTCAAGAATTCAAAGTTCCAAACAACAACATATCTTGTTCAAGGGACATAACTCCACGAAAGGGAAGTAAGTCATGACGTGTATCTGTACTACAGTACGCTAGAAAATAATTGTTAAGCGATACCGAATATTTTCGCGTGACTGGTACAAAGCGATAATTTGGTATGAGATTAGTTAATTATGATTTGCTTACATTTGAAGAAGATGGTATATCGGAACACTGGAGACTCCAGAAAACGAGAATATTTTCATGAAAGTTGAAAATAGGAACACTATTAGCAATTATTAAATCTCCGAATGAGTGAGTGACTTTAACAGTTGTACGCCGCACTCAGCAATATTCCAGCTGCATGGCGACGGTCTATAAATAACCGAGTCTGGACCATACAATCCAGTGATCACCAACATGAACATCGATCTATGCAATTAGAATACGATGACATATGTGTCAACCACATAGGCGGATCCAGAAATTTTCATTGATCAACAACATGAACATTTCTTGATCCGCCTATGTGGTTGACACATATTGGTATTCCAATACGTAGATCGATGTTCTGTGTTGTTCGAACCGCCTAGGCCACTGATCCGCCACTGAACCACGTCAGCAGGCCTGACCACCCGATCCAGTTAGTCGCCTCTTACTACACATGGGTTACTGAAGACCAACTCTACATCTTCACGGATAAATCATTCAAAATGATCCAGTATGAGACATGCCATTGCCCAGACTGATCATTGTGCAGAATATTGGCAGTCATCTGAGGTACAGCAATTTGATGTGTAGATATTGGCTGTGGATGGTTCAATTGTTTAAGGAGACTCTAGAAAAAGAGAACATTTTCATGAAAGTTTAAAATAGGAACACTATAAGCTAAATCACTGAATGAGAGTGAATTTAGTTTTACACCAGCAATATTCCACTCTGTATGGCAGCGGTCTGTAAATAATCGAGTCTGGACCAGACAATCCAGTGATCAACAGCATGAGCATCGATGGTTCAGTTGTTTAAGGTTCCACAATTTGATGAGTTGCATGTCTTTACCCCTCTAGGAACCAATGACCATGGGTTTGAAACACAGGTCGTGTTTGTGTTTGGGGGCAGGGGTTTCAATCAACAGCATGAGTCAGGTTCCACAATTTGAGTTTACACCAATGACCATGGGTTTTAAAACACAGGTCGCCTTATGTTTATGGTTTCATCAGCAGTAAAACATCTATGACCTGCATCACGATGGGGTTTCAACATAGTGAGTATTCCAGCAATGTCATGGTGGGGACACTGCATCACTTCACATGTTGTGCCCTTGTGGGGTTTCCTCCAACATAGTGAGTGAGTGAGTTTAGTTTTACACTGCTTTTTAGCAATATTCCAGCAATGTCATGGTGGGGGGACACCAGAAATGGGCTTCACATGTTGTGCCCTTGTGGGAAATCGAAACTGGGTCTTCCCTGTGATGAGGAACACTTTAACATCTGGCCCCTTCCTATTAAATAGACCGCCTCCGTGGTGTAGTGGTTAGAGCGTCCGCCCGGAGAGCGGAAGGTCGCGGGTTCGATCCCCGACCGCGTCATACCAAAAGACATTAAAATATGGTACTTGTTGGTCCCTGCCTGGCGCTCGGCATTAATGGGTACAAGAAGGACTGGTCGGCTCGGAGTCAGTATAATGTGTCTGAGTGGGGTATTCATGCTTCACTGCGGCTTGGCATCTCAGTGAGCTAGCACTATAAAACCAGCTTCAGTCTGGGCTAGTACAAGCAGCCGCACCTACACCAACACACGCATGCACGTCGTCATATGAGCGAAATATTCTCCAGCGTGACGTTAAACTCAATTTCACCTCACCTCACCTCCTATTAAATAAAGCTGACACACCATGATTAAGTCTACGACTGGAAAACCTAACTCAGTGACTCTTTATGATTAATTCTATAGCCACATTGGCATTCTTCAATGCTGGACACTGCCAGTATTACAAGAGAACCAATGTCGGCCTAATATACAGGTTGCTGCATGTCATTATATAGGTCACTTCACATAACAGTTGAATGACTTCACTAGAAAGTCTTTCAGGGTTATGAGGAAATGTCTGATTTTCCTTCAAATAATAATAATAAATGTATTTGCTCAATACTGATTCAAGAAATGGCTATTACATAGGTGTATGCTGTTGAATGTATGATGAAGAAAGGTGAGGCAAAAAACCAAAACAATTGTGTCTCAGGTAAGATGTAGTTGCAATGTTTCTTGAGGTTGAAATGCAGGGTTTTGAGGAAATGTCTGATTTTCCTTCATAATAATAATAAATGTGAATTTATAATGCCTTTTCCATGTACAAGGCTCATGCTCAAAGTACCAGCCTTCAGCATCTGATCATGAGATCCCATGAGATTTGTGTGTGTGGAATTAGTCTGAGTGTAAATTTGGACATTGGCAAGGTCAACTACTTCCTAAATTCTAATTCAGAATCCTCATGAGGAATGACAACACAATTACATAAGCAGCTTCACATTTGAATCCCTACTTTCTGTGCCAGTGCCCGGTCAGTATGGTTGTAACATAGCAACCTATCTGCAAAGCATTGTGGTGCAATTTCTTTGTAGTGGCATCTCCTAGAAGACATAATGTGTTCTAAAACACCTGGTGCCATTGTACAAAGCGATATTAGAACCTAAGGTGATCGTAACTCCCATACCTTAACACAGATTTTTCGACTGTTGGCACAAAAGGTTGTTTTGTACAACATCACCCTGGTAGGTATGTGGGACCTATTCTGACTCCCAGCTAGACATTGCTGCACGTCCAGTCAGCTCAAGCCTGCTTGTTTGGATTCTCAGGTAATCCTGACCCATTTCTTTACTTGAAATAAACTTCTCCAGTTCCTCATAAATAGACATCCTGTATCACCATGCTGACTTACCATTAAACCAATGTCACAAGTGAATGTAACCTAATTATTCTTTTGGCTTCCTCCTACCCTGAAATCCAAGCAGATGGGACTTCAGAAGCCTTTAAGGAGAGAGAGAGAGAGTACTGTTTTATCAATGTGTGAAGCCTTAGAGAGAGAGAGAGAGACAGAGAGAGAGAGAGAGAGAGAGAGAGAGTATTGTTTTATCAATTGTCCACCAGTATCATGGCAGGGGACACCAGAAATGTAGTACCCATGTGGGGAATGGAACTCTGGTCTTCAGCGTGATGAGCGGACACATTAACCACTAGCCTACCCCTCCGCCCCAAGTAATCAAGACATACTACAACAGCCACTGTGAAGACCATGACAGAATATCTTTTCACATTAATGATCATACCACCGGCTCTTAACTGTCACATCTTGATGTGGTACTAGTCTGACCATAAGAGTGAATTTAGTTATACAAGCTTTTAGCAATATTCCAACATCACAGTGGAGGACACTAGTGGTGGTCCGACTAATTGAAATAATCGAAGATTGGTCGCAGTGACTAAACAACCATGCAATCGATCATGTTTACTCATAATCGAACACAAACAATTCTGGAACACTTGTTTTCATAAACAATATTTTTCACAAGGTTGGTTTTGTCTGTTACATTTCATAAGCACCACAAGCTCATTTCAAGTCATGATTGAATTTATCTTAAAGACTCCAAGAAATTTATGTTCCTGACATACTAGTCATCCTTTAAAGATGTGAAATTTTGCCAAAAAAACCAAAAGAACTACATGTTTTTTCCTTATTTTTATGTGCATTAACAAATTTCATTAATGACGCTAACCAATTTGTATCGATGATTGATCGGTTGTAATAAACCAATCATCAATTATGAGATTTTAACCAATTCCCAACACTAGAGGACACCAGACTGACTGACTGAGTTTGGTTTTACGCCGCTTTTAGCAATATTCCAGCAATATCACGGCGGGGGACACCAGAAATGGGCTTCACTCATTGTACCCATTGGGGATTCAACCACTCTTCGGCTACCACTAGACTACCCCACCCCACCAGAACTTAAGAACTCTGGGTAGAAGAGTGCCGATGACATACATGGGTAAGAACTCTGGGTAGAAGAGTGGGTAACACATTTGTCTTGTGCACAAGCCAGCGACAATTCAACACATTATTCATTAAAGTCAATTTTATTTAACAACTGAGACAATGATTACAGAGGTTCGAGTGCAGTCAAGTCTTTAAAAAACTTGTATCTTCAATCATATCCATGATCTAACCATGTTCTGGTTATAGTTTGTTCCACACCTACAAAAACAATCTGTATTTCATAGAGGCCAATAACATACTGTAATGATATAAATAATATTCATATTTATAATTCACCAAGTCCACACCCTAAAGCATACTCAAAGTGCTACAGTTTTCCTCAGTCATTGGATCAGTGTGCGCTTGGTTTTCATTTTCAGCTCCCTGGGGAGTGTACTACCCAAGCTGCCTGTGAAAGTAGTCATAGTATAAATTCATCCTTCTAAGTACTTCCTCAAACCCTCTAAATCAGCTTTTTGATATATTTTAGCCACACATTTAGTGTTGTCGGAGTATACACATATTGAAATAGGCTTTCTCATTCAAATGGACATATAATAATAGCGTTCATAACAATTCCTAAAATTTGGCTCATTTCGATTGGTAACTCTAACATGTCTTTAAACCCACAACACATTTCATATATCCACTTGACTTACTTCTATGAAAACTGTGTCAACTGTCAAAACATTCATTTACGGACACATAAGGAGTCATTCTTAGATCACACACTAAAGGAAGAAAGTTGAATTCCTTACAGTGACTACATTTTAATTGCCATTCAACATTCTTGCACACTGAAACTATAGTATGACCAGATATTATTGAGAATTTTGGAATATGTTTAATTGGATTTCTAGTATAAACAACCTTGACCAGCTATCAAGTACTTGGTTTCATTCAAGAGAGACAACTCCGTTAATCCTTTTTCATCAGTTTGTGAAGAGTTATCCCCCTTTGTTTACTTGCTAGCATTTTCAGTGATCCTCAGTATGGATGATTTAGAGAAGAGGAAGTTGATTTTAGAGTGTTATAACATGGACATCAGATCAGCTAAAGTGATTTCAAGTAGAACAGGCATCACTTTGTCCACTGTTTATCGTGTTTTGAAAAATATTGCAAATGGATATGGCATTGAGCACCAGGGAGGCGCAGGTAGGCCCAGAAAATTAACTGTCAGTGACAGGAGGCGGCTTGGTATTTTTGTTTCTAAAAACAAACGAAGGAGTTTAGAAAACTTAAGGCTGGATATGATTGATAGATACTGTGGCTGTCTGTAAGGAGACAATTAGAACCGAGCTGCATGCAATGGGTTGGCAGAAAAGTCGAGGAATTCCATCACCGATCATGAAACATGAACAAAGGAGTGAAGGTTGAACTGGTGCTTACAGCATAGAAATTTTAAGTGGGACAATGTAATTTTCTCAGATGAAAGTTCTGTGTGGCTGTTTCCTAATACACTGAAATTCTGGACCAAACAAACTGAAAAACCTTGGTATCAGCGCCCAAAGTACAGTCCGAAATTTAACGTGTGGGGTGGCATATCTGTGTTAGGGGCAACGCCCCTCTGTGTATTTGAAGGGAATATGAACAGTGAGCGGTACACAGATATTCTCGAGGGACATTTACTTCCATCTGCTCACGTGTTCTATGGACAGTTTTGGATTTTCCAGCAGGACAACGACCCAAAACATCGTTCAAAGCATTCACAGGCCTGGTTTCAGACCCAAAATATGACATTATTAGATTGGCCAAGCTATAGCCCTGACCTAAATCCAATAGAAAATGTTTGGGGACTTATGAAGGAAAGTGTCAATAAGAAAAATCTGACAAATATTGCTGAAATAAAGAAGAGGTGGTCTGACACTGGGACAGCATGGACCATGACTTTCTTACTTCTTTGATCAGTAGTATGCCCCGCCGCATTGAAGCCTGCATTGCTGCCCATGGTGACTTGACAAAATACTAACTGTTCACCTGTCTTTGAATCTGGAGTTATGTTCTGCTAATATTCACATTTAATAATCGAGTGAGTAATGAGATCTGCACAATGAAAAATAGAAAAAGTTACAATCTTTAAATTCTCAATAATTTCTGGTTGTACTGTACATGTATCTGAAATCATATATTCAAGTTTTGTTTTCAAATGTTTTCATGTCATTTGTGATTAAAACTTATTATATGCTTCCATTGTGTCAGTATATTTTGTATGTTTGTATCTTTAAGCATGAAAACTCTCTATATCATGTTCTCAAAGTCAACAATAACTAAGATTCGTCTCTATTTTTCATAGTTTTAAAGAAGTTTGAACAAGAATACAGCTACAGAGTTTTGAACTGTTATGAAAGGGAATGGAATTTTTGCTTACAAAATGTATAAATGTCTAAAGCTGAATACTCAACAGTTAAGATGGCTATGTTTGGAGAAAATATACTACTCAAAGAAGCTAAAGAACACCATATTAAGTAATATTACTAAAGATTTACTAGTATAATTTGTAAAAATTGGGTGTTCAACTTGGGCGAGTAGCATATGACTGTTCAATTGATATAGGGATATTAACTGAAAAATTAAATTGAAAAATTCAAGGAGTAAATTGTATAGAACACTATATCCTGATATATACACAGTGGTGGAAATGACTTTAAAATTGCTAGTGTACGTACAGTGGCACATGTAAAATCACTTGCCCTGATAATTTTTCCACTATACCAGCTGTTTTCTTGTTGATTTTTTACATAAAGAACATAATTAACATTGGAAGTCAACTGGACACCGGTACAGTGTGATATACAAATTTGCTTGCCCGACAGAAAAACCACAGGACTCGGGCATCGGGCAATGGGTTATTTCCACCCCTGAATTACAAAACCCAAACAATGCTATACAAAGTGTAATATGTAAGTATGAAGAAGTTAGGAACACTCGAACATGTTTTTTTACATTATGGTTATCTGTCTTATCATTATAAACAAACAAGTTAAGAAAATCAAATAAATAAAATAATAAAGAGAAAATAACCAAATGTTTGTACACACAAACCATTCTCATCAAGCTTATTACAATACCTCCAGTCACTGTATATTCTACTCAAAAGAAGTTACAGAAAATCTGATTCTTTCATCTGATGATAGTCAATCTGCAAAGTCATCTTTTGAATAGTATATATCATAAGTAAAATAATTTAAACTGCAAACAAATGCCACAGGCACCTGCTCCCAAGATGTTCTTTGCAATTATCTCAATTTGCATAGTATCAAACTGACTGGAATACATAACTGTCATGACAGTGTGTCAAACGACCCATTGCCAGTGACAATGGAAGGCCATGTAGGAAGCATTTTTGGCATTGTTTTTATGGGTCAATGACCTCTGGCAAAAGAGCAAGGCATTTTATACCTTTTACTGCACTCAGTCTAGTGTTAATTCCTCTACTAGGATTGGAAGCTATCTTTCTACGTCTATGTCCAAGGTGGTAGATGGAAAGAGTTGTCCTCAATATGCTCTTGTACATGGCAGTTCAAAGATTAAACTCAGCAAGATCATACTGTTAATTTGAAGTACCTTTGTCCACTTTAACAAAAACAACCTTTTCAAATGTGTTAAATTGATCAAATATCACTGATACAAGTGCATAACATCTTTCATCATGTTAACTGTAGATTAATGTAATGCTATCAAGTACATAATCAATACATTGCTGAAGACAAATTAACAATACATCCATGATTTTCTTCACGTAAACATGCAGTCATGTTTCTGGTCTGCAACAATAATGACTTCATTCTTCCTGCTACTAACTTAGAAGTTGACTTGCGTCTATAGTGGTGATATGATCTACTCGAAATTTCCAATAACAGAAACACAGAGAGGTCATTGCTTAATCTGTTACTTTTACCGCCACCAAATATATTTTTTCACATGTTGAAGCTGACTTGTGATCAATGGTGGCAATATGACCTGTTTGAAGCTGTCCAACAAAACAGGGAAATGTCCTTGCTCATTGTGTTTCTGGTATCATGGCCACCATAATGATTTCATTCTCCCCACCACTAACTTGAAGCTGACTTGTATCGATGGTGGTGAGTATGATCTGCTCAGAACTGACTGTCGGTAAAGCAGATTCCTGGATGTAGGCATTTCCATCCAGATGTACCACCTGGGCGTAATTCCCCATGTCGTCCTGTATAAACTGCACTTCAGACAAATCGTGCACCACCTGCACATCACACTCATGGATCTCACTGATGCTTGCAGTCGCTTCTGCCAAAATATCCTGCCTTTCTTCCTCTGACTTCATCTTTTCGCAGGCAAAAACTTCGTTCAGGAACGATGAATGTTCTATTGATGTTTGTGTGGCAATCGGTTGACTGGGTGTTTCTTCAAGGTCTTTCTTCAATGCCTCAACCAGTTCATTCTCTCGCTCTTTCTTCCTATGGTAAGCTTCATGCTTTTTCACATCACCTTTCCGATCAAAGCGTTTGTCACAGAGGTTACAAGCATATTTCTTCCTCTCATGTTCATCTTCATGGGCCTTCAAATACTCCTCTTTGCCATATGCTCGACCACACACTTTACATTCAAATGGACGCTTTCCAGTGTGAACTCCGATGTGACTTTGCAGGTAGCGAACACGTTTAAACTTTCGGCCACAAAATCGACAACATTTCTTGTTATCGCACTCCCTCAAGTGAGTTGTTTGCAAGAATGTTATATCTCGGAAGTATATTCCACAACGAGGGCATTTAACTTTGTCTGGTCCTTCATGTACTTTCATATGACTCTTGAGCCGTGTTTCCAAAGAAAATACCTTTTCACATTCCTGACATTCAAATTTGCCCTTATGCTGTTTTTCATGGTACACCAGGTCTGATTTTCTGATGAAACATTTACTGCAGGTTTCACATTTCAAATTGCGCTGTCCAAGGTGACGTTCCATGTGGTGCTTATACTTGTTCTCAAGATAGAATCCCTTGTCGCAAATATTACATTTAAAGTTCTTGGTCTTGCTATGGTACTGAATATGGTTCTTGAAGGAGGTCCTAAATTTGAAAGACCTCCCACAGGTGTCACACTTGAATGGCTTGACGTCACCATGGCACAATTCATGGACCTTGAGCTCAGCATTGAAGAAGAACGCCCGCTCACAGCCTGGAAACTGGCATTTATGTTTTCTGATACCAGTGTGCTTCACCTTATGTCTGTTCAACCCAGACTTGCTGTTGAAAGACTTTCCACAGTCATCACAGAGATAAACTCTCTTTACAGCTTCATGGGTCTGCATGTGAGTATTCAGGCTGCTGGCCTGAGAGAAACATCTCCCACACACTGTACACTCATGAGTCTTTGGTCCATGACACAGCTTATGTTTTTTCAACAAACTATTTGAGATAAATCCTTTGTTACACACGTCACATAGGAAAGGTCTCTCGCCAGTGTGCTTCATCATGTGTTCTCGGAGATAACAGGCCTCTGCAAATCTCTTCTCACATAATTCACAACCATAGGCCAGCTTTTCTTTCGAAATGTGCACCTTCAAATGCCTTCTCAGACCAAAATCATGGTAAAAGGCTTGCGGACAAAGGTGGCACTGGAATGTTCTCTCTCCTTCATGCCTGATCATATGTCGTTTCAACTCGCTTGGAACAAAGAAGCGTTTTTTGCAGACATTGCACTGATGTTTACAGACGCTGTGTTTCATAATATTGTGTCGTCTCAGGGAATGTTGCAGCTTGAATTTCTTGTCACATTTGTTGCAGCTGAACAGTCCACTTTTCTTAATGGACGCCTTCAATCTTTCCTTCTGGGCTGCGATCCTCTCGACATGTTTCTTGAAAGCAAATTCTCTCAAAGATTCTGACTGTGCAGTTGTATCCTCCTTCTTGTGACTCCTTATGTGGGCTCTGAGAGAGAGGATGTTGTCAAAGGTCAGACCACAAACATCACACATAGCTGTCTCCTTGTCCTGTTTCTTTCCTGTACTTTTGTTAAGAGGCTGTTCTGACCTGGATTTGGTAACAACATCCCGACTTGTATGTTTGAACTTGATCAGATGGTCTCTCAGGCTGCTGGGATACTTGTACTCCTTGTCGCATGAATCACATTTGTAAATCCTGCCCTTGTGACTATCCATGTGTCTCTTCAGGAGGGCGCGTGTCCTAAACAGTTTTTGACAAACTGTACATTTGTTCGACCCAGTTTGGTTGTGACTCCATTTATGGTATGTCAGCTCATTGTTATTGATGTAACCCTTCCCACAAATATCACAGGAGTACGGACGCTTGCTTACGGGCAAGTGAGTACTGGCATGCTTTTTGCAACTGGACAGGCATTTAAAACTCTTAAAGCAAACTCTACACTCAAATGGATTTGTTCCATCGTGAAGCAGCTTATGCTGTTCCCGAGACTCCTTTGAGTGGAATTTCGCCTTGCATTGTTTGCATGGGAAACACACTTTTCCATATTTCTGATAGTGTTTATCCAAGGTCACACTTGAAAGGTATTTTCGAAAACATATTTTGCAGCCATGTTTTAAATGATTTCCTTTCATTTTGATATTGTTCACATTAAGAGTGGTAAAAGCAGTTTTCTGTGTGACCTCTGTTGCATAATTTGCATGTTCCTCTCCTCCACCATTATCTGTGTCTGGATGACCACCATCCCCATCCTCCATACAAACCACAAGATCTAGACACTCTTTCTCAAACTCACCGTGAATTATGTCAGGCTGGTCATTTTTTCAACAGCAGAATCATTTGCATTTGCATCTGCATCAATATTCGCATCCTCGCTTTTCAATCCCTTAGACTCCCTCATTGCTTTCTCAACTTTAACCTTTCGCTTAAGGTAAGTCCTCCTTTTCTTCTCCTCTCGTAGTTCTGCCTTTTTCTTATACAACAACTTGGGAGCTTTTGGTGCTTTCTGAATAGGTTCTGCTGTGTCCTCAGTGTAGTGGTCTTTATAGACATGGATGTGTTCCATGAGACTTGTATACACCTTGTACGTCCTGTTGCAAGTGTAGCATCGGTACTTTTTCGTACTGTGATACTTCATGTGTGCATTAAGAAGATATCGGGCAGCAAATTTGGAATCACACTGGTCACATGCATAGGGACGGTGTTCAGCATGGATGTATTCATGCTCTCGAAGAGCATGCTGCTCCGTAAAACCTTTCCCACATTTCATACAAATAAATGGTCTTTCGTGAGGAGCCAGGTGAGTTTTCACATGTTTGTTGGCTGTTGCTATACTTGGGAAGCTTTTGTGACATACTTCACACATATATGGGTGAACTCCTGTATGGGCTAATTTATGTTGCTCAACATCAGCCTGACTATGGAAGCCAGCTGCACAGATATCACACTGCACACACTCAGAGCCTGCCTTGTTAATGTGTCGAAGAAGGTACCGTTTTAATGGGAAACTTTTATGGCAAACATTGCAAGCATATTCTTCTTGGTGCACTTCGGCTGAACCTCCTGGTGTGACTGGCACAGGAACTAGTACAATTTCAGTCGGGTTTGGACTTCTGCTGTTTGAGTTTCTTGTTTCATTATCTGCATGATCGAGCTGAACAGGTGACATAGATTTGTCATTTATTACTTCTTTGTTTGGAGTCTTCTTTAGGATAGTTGTCTCCAGCACAACACTCCTGTCATCAGAAACTGTCTTAAAGTCATGGTCTCCCTTTTCTTCAGACACAGATGAAATGTCGAAATCTGGATCCTTTACTGAATCATCCAGAATTGCCTCATCTCCACTTTCGTAATGAACTAGAATATCTTCGTCCAAAGTGTTTCTCTTCTTTCTCTTCAATGGTGTCAAAGCTTGTGGACTCTCTTGATGTTTATATTTAGGTTTTCTTCCCCGCCTTTTCCCGGTTGAGGGAGCTAAACCCTTGTAAGAGTTGCCACTGACCTTTGACATGATTACTGATGGATCAGTCTGATTAGCAGCGTCAAAATTTCCTTTTTCACCACAGGCCTTTTGTGTGCTAACTGATAGATCTGCATCCTTGTTTGCATCATCAAGATTTTCAGTTCTGCTGATAACCTCTGGTGTGTGAGCTGGAGGTTCTGCCTGATTAGCAGCATCAAAATTTACAGTTTTCCCACTGATCTTTGGTGTACTTGCAGACCCATCTGCCTTATTTGCTTCATCAAGATTTTCAGTTTTGCTGCTGACCTTTGGTGTGTGAGCTGAAGGTTCTGCCTGATTACCAGTGTCAAGATTTCCAGAGGATTTTGTATCCTGTGTCATTTCAATCTTCACTGCAGAATTCCTCCTGAACCTGCTCTTGGTGGTTCGAGCTGATCTCCTGATGGTACTTGGAGGAGCAGAACTTGGAACCGGAGGAGAGAAGGATGCCGCATCTCCATGTTTTACAGTGTCACTTTTCAGAGATGGTGTTGACACAACTTCATGTGGTGGGCCTGGTGTTTCAAGTTTTGGTCCTTCATCAAAACGTTTTCCGTCAACATCACTAATTCTTGTAAGTACCACCTTAGGCATCAACAGTAAATGGTCAAGTGAAAACAGGGCGTCATATGACTTCTGCAATGTTTCATCTTTCGCAGGCAGATCAGGCGATCTATCTAGTGTTTCGACTTTTTCAGGCAGATCAGACGATATATGCGGTATTTCGACTTTCTTGGGCATATTGGATGATCCATCCAATGTTTCTTTCCTTGGCAGATCAGATGTTCTCTTCAACGTTTGTTCTTTCTCAGGTACATCAATACTTTGTCTATTACCATTTTGTTCCTCTGACAGCTTTAATTTCTTCCTTGGTCTTCCACGTTTCCTTTTTTCTGGAGTATTCTGTGTCTTTGCATTGCAGTTTTGACAGAGATTCCGTTTCTCCATGACACTAAACACCAGCTCAAGTTGTCGATCAAGGCAGATGAGGTCTTTTCCACATGAACTACAGCCATTGCAGACATTCCTTTGGATGACACCCACACCAAAATTGCTGCACTTAATTATCCCGGTCTTGATCAGATCTATAAAAGATGGTTTCTGGTCTTCTTCTACATGGACTGCAACTTTCAGCTCAATGTCATGGTCACCTAGGATGTTGGTCTCCTGTAGGACACAACTCAGTGATGAAGCTAGAATCTTCTGAACACTATCAGACATTGTGATGCCTTGCAATAACTGACAGAGTCAGCAAGCACTCCTTTGAGGTATGATATTTTCCCCTGTTGAATCTGAAACAAGACACAAGATACATACAATAAAATCATTTGGCAAAAAAGAAACTCTCTGTCACGCTATCCTTAGCGGACTGAAGTTAATGTGTGAATCTGTGATATAATCAATTCACTTACACTCTCCATTGTAAAGAACTGTTACTATATGGTTGCAAGATCAATTTTACATTTGACCATATTTTTGGGGGGTACTAGTTACTGTAGCGAGCAGTCTAAGTAAACTTAGGCTCAGTATTATTCGTTAAACTGTTATACTGAGTCTAACAAACCCTAGTAGAAGGTCGCATCAGCTAACCTTGAGCGACCTATGACCATCCAAACAAATACGAGACGGCCGAACGGATTTAACAGACAACAGCCACTATTTAGGGTTCGGTGGGACTTAAAACATTCCCCGGTCACTGACACTGATCTTTCAACAAACGAACATCCGCATAAAACACAGATATTTGACCTGCAGTACATACGCTTATTGCTTTCTGAAGACACGGTTACCATTAGCTAATATTTCCGCAAGGTGACATCCTTGAATATTGACAAAAACTGTTTATTTTCGGCGACTGTTTACTCATTGCTGTGATGTGCTCCATGTGCATCACTCAGAAGCGATCGTACGGAAAATAGCATTCGGGTACAAACATTTTCGAGGTAAAAGTTCAAAAGGTATGTGCGAATGTTAACTTTTGCGATTTGGTAAGCTGTGTTCTGATTGGCCAATTGAACGTTTTAAGGACACAAACATACAGTTTCTTCCAATTAGATTATGTTTGAGTTTTTAAGTTAAAAAGTTAAATTGAACAGTACTAACAATACATGTACACTAGTCTGTCTCACAGTTCCTGAACCATACTATTTTCCTTACAGCCTAACCCTCCCTGCAATGCTAAAGCCCTAAATGAAGCAAGTCCCGATTTCCTCAGGTTCTGAATCTCTGGTATCCCTGGGGCTCCTTTTCAATTTAAATGGGCTTATTTGTTAGAATCAAAATTATATATATTCAGAGACTAAACATTAGTCTACCAATAAATATGGCTGTCATAACTTCACATAATACATCATATGTAATCATTGTCAAAATTGTAGTAAACTATATGAAACCATTGACCTTGTTAAGTGCAATACTGGAATGCAAGCCTCACTCTCTCTATTATCAGCCAGTTAGCATGATTAGGAAAAAGATATCTAAAAGACTTTTGCCCTGCAACCCCTGACAATGTATACTTTGTATTTCAACAGGTATTACCAGTAATTATGAAAGTTGCCACTGTGTATAGGTCCGTCTCCTATTCTCGCGGTAAATACGTTTTCTGCCGAAATCGCCGATGCGTGACACTTAGCGGTTGTTTACATCACCAACTGGTAACTAGGAAGTGGACCAAGTCGGTGAATGATCAACATCTTGCAGTGTCACGAATATTGGGGAGTTTATACCAACTTGGACATATCATTACTTTTTCCTGCCCTTTCCGGCAGGATGACTCTTACATACACTCAATAACGTTAATTCCTGGTAATACCGCGAGAATAGGAGAAGCCTCATTTCATCAGTGGCGGATGGCATTGTTTATCACCGGGCTCACAAGTGGTAATTCACCTGATGGATCTAGCAGCTGATAGATGTAGATGTTAGAGGAGAAGGCCCTTCATTTAATAACAACAAGCATTCATGATAAGAAATGTTTGTGTTATTTTTTCAGCCGATATCCGTAAGTACCTTGAGAATAGGAAACGCCTTCCTACAGTACACTGGACTGATATTTTGAAGGGGCTTTTTTTAAAAGCTTACCAGACTAGAATTATACTGGTTCTCATAGTGCAAGCCCACGGTGATGCCATGGATGTGAACATTGACACCTGATTCCATTCACATACAGAGTATTGACTCCAGGCTTTGCTTTAACCTCATAATACCGAGCGCTAAGCAGTGTAACTAGTTTGATCTAGGATGAGGCCTTCGGTAGTTTCATGTTGTGAGTAAACGCATTCAACCATATAATTCATTTACGACGATAGTTTCTATTAATGATATTTCCCATAATTTATTTTATAGTACGGTATTGCTTCCGACCAGAAGAAAAGCTTACAAGTAACTGAGTAATTCGTTGTTCTGAATACGCACATGCCAATCTGGCGTTTTGATCGCCGCCATCTTGGTCAAGGTGCCCGAAAAATGCGATTTTGGGACAGTACCAATTCATGTGACAACCGCGTTTCAAGTCGGAAACTTGACGAGAATATTAATGTACATCAGATTGTTATTTCATAATTGTGGGCAAGTACAACCGTCTGCATACCTTTCTTGGTGTTATTTACATCTACATTTTAGCTTTGTTACTTCCTCAATTACATCAAGGCCATTCAGGGCATTCCGCTGCATGTTTAAAAGTCTCCGTGCAGGCTTTGCGCTCGAAGCAAGCCGAAGTTAACCGATCTTTTCCGCATGCAACTTTACAGGGGAGATAACCTGTAGCAGTCGCTTTGGTATCGACCCGCTAAATACCCCTCACACGTGGTTATGCCCAAGATCAGGACATAACGTCCAATCCCGTATTCAACATTTTGGAAAAACATGTTTGTAAGTGAACAGAAGTATTCATTCTTCATTAAGAAAAGAATGTTTCGAATAGTGAAAATAACGAATTCGGAAAGAAGTCGCGTCTGTTAGCAAAGTAATAGTCAATAAATGTTATGATGTTGAAACATATATCACCAAATGGTTTAGTTGTTCATGAAAAGCGAAATGTGTCACACTCAAAGGAAGGATCGAGTGAGTGTCAAATATCAAACCCGGATTTCCAACGTAATGAGCGAAAGCTGAAACCAAAAATTAATTGTGATACTTTATTATATAGAAACGTGAATGGGCAGTTGGTGAAACAGTACAGTGTTCGGTAAAACTGCTTCAGGGATGTGTTGAAGGGCCGAGTGAGTGAGTTTAGGTTTACGCCGCTTTTAGCAATATTACAGCAATATCATGGCGGGTGACACCAGAAATGGGGCTTAACACATTCTACCCGGGTGTTCGGCATGACAAGCGAACGCTTTAACCACTAGGTTACCCAACCGCCCGTATGCTGAAAGAATCACTTGTATATAACTGATTTCTTTGAAGATCCGGGGCGGTGGGGTAGCCTAATGGTTAAAGCGTTGGCTCGTCACGCCGAAGACCCGGGTTCGAATCCCCACATGGGTACAATGTGTGAAGCCCATATCTGGGGTCCCCCCGCCGTGATGTTGCTGGAATATTGCTAAAAGCGGCGTAAAACCAAACTCAGTCAGTCAGTCTTTGAAGATCCAGGATACAAATAAATCTGACCAACGCCATAATGTTGACGTTTTGCCATGGTCATCTCATTCACCCGACCTCAACCCGATAGAATATCTATGGGACCATCTCGGAAGACAACTCCGACGTCGACAACAGCAGCCAGTCAACGTCCGACAGCTTGAACAGGCTCTCCATGTGCATTAATTCCAAATGACGTCATCAGGCGACATACGTTTTCCATGAGAAGACGCGTATGTATCCTTGTAGGCTTGCATCGATGCCCACAGGCCATACAAGAGTATGATACCTGCTGTTGTGACATTAGGGTGTCTGTTATAGTCTGTTTGCATTGAAAACGTACCGATGAATGTCAATTTAAACAAAAAAGTAAATCGAATAAGATGGAATTAAGATTGCGAATCCTCATAATTTTTACCTTGCCAACTGAACATTTAAATCTCAGAATTTTATTCAACTTAGGATAAAAGTTGTTTAACAAACGATCATAATTCAAATCGCTATTATTGGTTTGTATTACAAGGGTGTATGCACATTAAATGAAACACCGGTACATGTAGAGTTGGTCTAAGTTAACGCCCATCACGAACCGCACGTGCATTTGTTTCACTGTTCCATCTACTGCGCTCACCCCCTTGTAATACAAACCAATAATAGCGATTTGAATGTATGATCGTTTGTTAAACAACTTTTGTCCTACAATGAATAAAATTCTGAGATTTAAATGTTCAGTTGGCAAGGCAAAATTATGAGGATTCGCAGTCTTAATTTCACTTTATTTGATTCACATTTTTGTTTAAAGTGAAATTCATCGGTACGTTTTCACTGCAAACAGACTATAATCGAGACTGAACTTTCAAATGTGTCATTTTGACCCCATGCCCTAGTGCAACAATACTCGCGCTAAATGTTTCACGCTTCTGTTCTGTCCTGGTTGTAAGAACTTCTGTTCTGTCCTGGTTGTAAGAACTTCTGTTCTGTTCTGGTTGTAAGAACTTCTGTTCTGTCCTGGTTGTAAGAACTTCTCTTCTGTTCTGGTTGTAAGAACTTCTGTTCTGTCCTGGTTGTAAGAACTTCTGTTCTGGTTGTAAAAACTTCTGTTTGACATTGTCCCTCAGTACACATGTGAAATTATGTTTCAAAGTTTGTTTGTTTTTTCTGCTATTAAGCGAAATTTTGCCTGTGTACTTTCTTTTGAACGTCAGTTTATTCTTCAGCAAACCATGCCCATAAAGCCAGTCTATTATAATTCAATATACTTTTCAAAACAGAAATGTGATATATCACACTGGGTAATGGAGAAAGGTGTGAAAGGTTTCTTTTCACGGGTGTGCCGCGGGGATTGTAGAATTTGTGAACAGCATTGTTTCCAGATTAAAGTGTAAATGTCCGGTGCACCATGTATTCGGTGCAGTGAAACCCATCCATGGTGCAGTGGAAAGGGTGTGTGTCCGTATAGCGGAATACCAGCAGTTCGATCACCATTTGGGTTTGGGGCGGGTCACAACTTCTATAATTGTAATACGTATGCTATGAAGTACGTATGCTGGAATGTCGATGGCAATTGAGGTAATGATGACAAAACCACACCACCAGACGAACAAATTATGGAAAACATGAATTAATCGTGCTGCATAGGCGGTGTGTGTGTGTGCGTGCGTGCGTGCGTGCGTGCTTGCGCGTGTGTGTCTGTCTGTGTGTGTGTGGTGGTTCGGAACCCCACCTTGGCTCTGCCATTGCAAAACATAAACCTCAATGTTGTCTTCAGTCATTTTCAAAGGGTGGGGTCTGACCCCCACCCGGATCCGCCACTAGCTGTCAGCTGTGCGCAAGTGACCATGGGGAATATTGTCGTGATTCACGGTAAGAGTGAGTATGTTATATCCGTCCGTGTTATTTGTAAGGAAAGCGTGATTGTATACGGTTCATTAACAGGGAAAGCTAAGTACCAATACAACGCCCCAGTGTTCAAGCGTTCGCCCGTGACGCAGACGCACCCGGGTTCTATTCCCCACGTTGGTACAATATGTTTGGACATTCATGGTATCTCCCGGCTTGGTGTTCGTTGGATATTGAAAGAAAACCATCCAAATACCTAAAACATCACTCTTTTCTCGCCTTTTCTACAAGTTCTACCCATATACACCATAGTAAACGTGGACGGTCGATCTACCGAAGAACATTTCTGTCATAAAATCCACTAGCGTGTGGCGACCTGTAAACTCGTTTATCCAGTTACTACTGACATTCGCTCAGTGGATAAACGGGGTCCAACACCTGTCCTGAAATCGTTTTACCTGACGATATTGGAGAGTCTGCCTAATCAAAGGTATGGATATCTGGATGTGAAAACATGTGATTGGGACAATATTTCTGTGATCACAGGAGCACGTGAACAAAAGTAGGTACAATGACAACGACTTGTCTCCGTGTTTAATGTCCTAAGTGTCCCACGACCATATCGACAGCTATTCAAACTTGTAAACACGACATGAATTGAAATTACTAAAATAGATTTATGAGAACCGGCTTTTGTGCATTGTATGAAATGAAGGTAGGTGACATGGGTTGAGCATTTACAATGTCAATAATGCTGTATTATGTAATGGTATAGGATCATGTTCCAGAAATAGCAGGTAATTCAACCATTTTAAAATTTTACTGTGAACACCAATACTGTTAAGATTTAATAGACAGTATCGTCATTTGGTTGAAAATAAGAATAGTCATCTCTTAGTCTATTCACTCATGACTCATTTACATGTCATTAACGGGAAACAGCGTGGAGGAGAATTGCTCACGGATTTACAGGTTTATACCTGGAGCGTACCCTCTTGTGGTAAACATGCCTGCCAGTTGAAAGGGAAAAACACAACGCAAAGTAAAACCACACATTTAACATGTAGTTTCCACAAGACAGAGCAAACCACGCCTGTTACAATATATAATTAAGTGTATTATTTGGCAATATTTAGAAATGTGATATTAAGTTGATCACAAAGGTTTTGTTGTTCAGGCAACAAGAAGTGCACTGGTATATCCAGATTGAGACTGGGGTGAACTTAATTTACATCCAGCCTTGTTTGAGATGTGTTTTAGTTGGTGTCATGTTGTCGCTCAGTCTTTCTTTTCATGGCCAGAGAAGTGAGCACCTCATCATTTTATCTCTGTATTTGCCCTTTTTGAATGAAATAATGTCTTGTACACCAATGAAAATGAGTTGTTGCTTTGTAACTAGCATCTACTTCGTTACCTTCTCGGTACAGAATCAGACACATACTGTTTGCTGTTTATGGCTAAGGTAATTTAATGGCTATTGGATGGGTGGTGGGGTAGCCTAGTGGTTAATGTGTTTGCTCATCATGTTAAAAAATTTGGGTTGAATCCCTACATGGGTACATTGAAGCTCATTTCTGGTGTCACTCTCCATGATATTGCTGAAATATTGTTAAATACAATTTAAAAAAACACTCGCTCACTCTCTCAAATGGATGAAAAGGACCCACTTATTCCCTGAATGTAAACCAGAAACATATAGGAGGGGAATTCATCTCATGAAATATTATCAAAGTGGTTTTGTGTTTCTGGCTTAAATGATACTTGATGCTGAAAGTTGTGCCACGTCCCACAAGTATGACTTTGGAAGGGTTACTGTGTTGTCTGTTTGTAAATGCAGGAAGCAGCATCTAGATGGCCATGAATATCACCAATGTCACACTGTAGTAGACATTACCAAATGTGCTGTCACATACCACAGTGATATACATGTATTGTGGAGTTGAGTGATATATGTTGTTATTCTTCCCACGTTGTTACCAAGTCTCATACAGTTGTTACAACATGTTAATGTTTGCATACAGTTCCTATTTGTACATTGTTGTTCAAGTAGGATTTCAAGTAGGAAATATAATGTATAATTCACAGGGGTCAGTTGTCTACGATCCCATTAGGATGTCATTTGATCAGATTTGTCAAGAAACTGCAGTGTCATGATGCATTAACAGGATACCGGATACAATGTCTGAAACGAAAATGATTGTTTACTGTGATATCGGATTCATTTTGACATCAGCAGTGTGTAATCACAATCATTTGAAGTCAGAACATATTTTTTAATATAACCTAGTCACTGTTTTCTTCAGTGACCAATCAATGAGTATAGAAGCATGTGATCAATACTGAACAGTTTAAGGTGCAGGTTTTTATCAGAGCCATAATATTCCCTCCTGTGTATGGGCATTAAATTGGGTGCTGGCTGATGCAAACTGTCCTATTGTTTGAATGCCCAAAGCAGCAAGCCAGAGACTATCTGTGCCTTCGGCACTTCCTCCCTTAGACTCCCCAATTTATTACTGAGAATACGATGGATGAAAAAATAGACAGACTGATAAATCTATTAATTTTAGACAAACTATTTTGTAAACAACACCCTCAGCCCCATCAACCCCCTAACTATCAAAAATGTTCTTTTCTATATCTTTTTCTTTTTTTTTAATCTTGTACAAAGAACAAAAAATATATGGTCAGTGTAAATTAAACAAAGAGAGTTTATTTGATTCCACTCAAATGGTTCCTTCACTTTCAATATTGACTAAACTTGAATTTTTAAAAATAACTGATATGTAATTAACATATGATTATTGTAAAGTGTTTGCTCATATGACTTGATTCGATTATGTCTTCAACTTGACTCCCTCACTAACTTATTCATTCACTAGCTGTAATGACTGATGGGCCAATGGTAGGAAGATAAACCGTCAAAATCAATACTGTTCCATACCAAGGATTAAAGAGGTGTGTGGGACATCTTTTCAGTTATCATTCAATAACAATGGCCACACCACCTTCAACTTTCTAACATATGACGACGTGCGTGTGTATGTGTATGTGCGGCTGCTTGTATTAGCCCAGACTGAAGCTGTTTTTATAGTGCAAGCCCACTTAGATACCATGCCGAAGTGAAGCATGAATACCCCACTCAGACACATTATACTGACTCCAAGCCGACCAGTCCTTGTTGTACCCATTAATGCCGAGCGCCAGGCAGGGACCAACAAGTACCATATTTAAACGTCTTTTGGTATGACGCGGTCGGGGATCGAACCCGCGACCTTCCGCTTTCCGGGCAGACGCTCTAACCACTACACCACGGAGGCGGTCCCATAGGTAAGATGGGCCATGAGGAAGTATTGATGCTCAGTCTAAGTATAGGATATGTAGGTTTTTTAACCAATCACATGTCTACATTCTAAAACTGTTCAACTTTATATCATCACCACCTCGATGCTGAAATTAAGTCTAAGAAGTAAACCCAGAAGATAAATATACTCACAATAGAACACCTCTTCGAGTATAGATGCAAAAACACTCAGTAACTACAGAATGTATAAAGCATTCACAAAGACATAATAGTCCTTTTTGTTTTGCATTTGGAACTGCCAAAGATTGTGATTGTTTAGATTTAGAAATCAGATGTGCTGCTCTGAATGTTTCTTTCACTTTACCAATATAATTTCAAGCTTGTTATATAGCCTCATATTGTCTTACTGGCAAACAAGGATAAGTTGAGCACCAAGCATGTATGAGTGCCACCCACTGGCACTTGCCATTGTTAGCGAAGGGGCACCAGGTTGTCCACGATCAAGTGTATTGCGACTTTCTACACCGACGTGAGAGTCTTATGAGCAAGGCGTGTGCAGCTACGCGCGGAATCAATTTCATCGTCATGTAATGCATGTGATCAAGCCTACGTTTGCTCTACCTTTCACAAACCAAACGGGTTTGCTCATTGCCGTGCACCGCCTACTTCCCGGTCCAACTTATCCTTGTTTGCCAGTATGGCAGTAGTATGTGACAGCAATACCAGTGATGGTCACTCCACCTGTTGCTGTGATGAAGAGGATAGTGTGTTTGACTGGAGATAAGCAGGGTGATGATTTGATCCCCTGTCCACTTCATACCAAAAGACAGCAAAAGATGTTACTTGTCCATTGTATTGTGTTAAGCATCAGGGGGGTGAGTGTCCCTGAGGAGGGTATTCATGTTAAACTGTGATATGGTATCTCAGTGGTCTGGCAATATAGCATCAAGGTACATCCAGCAACACACACATGGACATGCATGCCGTTGTAGGAGTGGACACATTTAGAATGCCTTACAGAGCTCCAGATAAGATTTAGCTCATGTGGGTACTGTACCCACTGTATTTTATTTTGGAGTGGGTATTATTTATGTTGAGTGGGTATTTCATTTTCTGTTACCCACTACTTTCAAATATGTGGGTATTTCAGTGATTTTACTCACCTAAGTATTGAGTAATTTTACTAAGCAGGTATGTACTGCCTTAATGTCATACCTAAGCAAAACCAACTTAAATATAATGGAAATGATTTCATAGAAAATCACTCATCCTATACTGACAGTACAACACTAGTCCTATACTAACAGTTCAACTTGATAGCAATCGATGTCTTTTTCATTATGCAAGCAATTTTTATAAATATATTCCGTACGCATATGTTTTAAACTTTTTGCGTATCTAACATTTTAAATGCGTAATTGGTAGGCAACAATTATTTTTCAATGCATAATTGGAAATTTTCTATGCGTATTTTACCCAAATACTCAGCTTATCTTGGCCTCTGATGCCTTACACCACTTACCTAATGTCATCACGAACCATGAAGGTCCGAGTTAGAATATTGGCCTTCAGTAACCCATGCTTGTCGTAAGAGGCGACTAACGGGATCGGGTGGTCAGGCTCGCTGACTTTGGTTGACACATGTCATCAATTCCCAATTACGCAGATCGATGCTCATGTTGTTGATCACTGGATGTCTGGTCCAGACTCGATTATTTACAGCTTGCCACCATATGGCTGGAATTTTGCTAAGTGCGGCGCAAAACTAAACTCACTCACTCACTAATGTCATCTTGTGTGGGTAAGATAACAATTGTGATTCTAGTCAAAGCCATAGAGAATGCTGTAAAATCACAGTTTTTGCTTGTTAAGCTTGTTGAGTTATATTATATGCACAATAACCCAGTTTTCTGCTACAGACAGGACCACTAATTATTGTCCACTCACTGGTCCTGGTAATTTTGAAAGGTTTCTTTCCATGCACTGCGTATATCATTTTTTGAGAGCGACAGTTGAAGGTCAACATGCAATCAGATATCATATGTTTAATATTTTCATTTAAGAGATTCGCTTTATCCTGGCATGGACTGTTTGTTGCTTTTTCATGTTTTCAATGCTGGCTTTTGCCTTTTCAAATATTTTATAGGTCCTACTGACATGCCTTGCTTCATTTTTGATCAAAAGTCTTT